TCAAACTCCCTACGTTTCTAGCGTAACTGACTTGCCTGCGCCGCCGGTACGTGGTTTACGTACGACTGTCACACAGTCCACAGACGCACAGACGCTGTTTACTCCACCAACGCAACAGTTCTTAGCGGCTTTTTTGACCTATATCTTCCTCGCAGTTCGCACAAAGTTTGTTGCAATGGCGACAAGAATCCAGGAGCAGTTCGCCGCAAAAGAAAGTCCGTTTTTGAGGTCGCTGAAAGAAGAAGACAAGGGGAAAAGCAGCGAAGCCAAACTAAGGTGATTCTTGAAGATTCATTCCAGCGATGGCGCGACTGAAGCAGACGCAGGGTCTAAAGACTGAACCACTGGTCCACAAATTACTCCTGGACAGGAAACTTCTGCTTATTATGAAAACGTACTTTATTTCCAAGAGCTACACAAACGTTTTTCAGGACACGAATGCGATATCCTATGTCTGAAAACGTAATTTTCAACGCAAAGAAAGAGTCCGCTTGCTGCTGCGTGTTGTAGCTAGTTCATTCGCACGGAATCTCCGCGCAATCTCTGCTCCTCTCTTCTCCTCTCCTCTCTCCCTGTTCCCCGCTCCTCACTTCTCCGTCTTGCCTAACCAACACTGTAGTTAGTTGTTTACAAGTCATGTGCAGCACCGGCTGTAAACAAACCTGTTTCTGGCGTAAGGAGGAGGAGGGAGGAGGCGTTTCTACGTAGGAGCTGTAGGGGAGGGGGGGTGGTTTCACGCATGCGCAACATTTGAAAAAGGACAAACAGTCGCTGGATTTCTCGTTCCTTGGAAAATCCTCTATACAACCTTTAAGAGTGCGTCTAATAGCCTGGAAAATATGGTAAGTCTTGTGAGCTTTACACCGGGTTCTAATGTTGTTCCCTCAACAAAAACAGACCTGGAGTTGTGTTTTGTGTCATTCTCACATATTTGAGTAACTCTTTATTGTTAGTTTGTCCACATCAATACAATTCCAGGGCTGAAATGATCCAAATGATTCTGGTGAAGGTTTGTTGAGTTTAAAAACACAATGGAGAACTTCCAGTATCACCACATGACATCACAAGTTGGAGCAGAGTGTTATCTGTTTGAGAAAAGAACTAGATTTGTGTGTTAAACATGTGTGACTGAAACAAAACCCAACTCCAGGTCTGTTTGTGATGAGGAAACAACATTATAACATAAATCAGAATATAACGTGACATAAATCCTTTAACAAACCGTCTGATTTTGTCATTAAGGTCATTTCGAAAACAGTTTTTGTCAACTTTCCCCACGCAGACTTCCCTGTAATTCTCTCTGATTTATTGATTGTTAATTGTTAGTCCGTGGCTGCAGCTGCTTGAGGAGCTTTAGGTGTTTTCTTCAGTGTCTCAGCTCAGGACAAACAGCCCAGAGGAACATTGTGTCTGTTCCTTTGACCTTTGAGGCTTTTGGACAGAAGCACGTCGGATAAATAATTGATTGTCCGTTTAACAGGCCTCACATGCGCCACAAAGTGATATGTTGTTTGGGCCTTTAGTTTTGTGGATGTCGTTAAAGGATCGTATTGTGGTCATATGTCAACTCGGATTTGTTTTGCCGCTGAGTAACTGTGAGTGCGTATACATGCACATCAATAACCCGGTTATGATCGGGTTTTTTGAGTATCCCGGTTTCTTCATGGTGCATGTAAACGCAGTAACCCGGTTTCAGTATCCCGGTTATGGCAGTATCCCGGTTATTAGAAACCGGGTTACTGTAGCTGGTTTATTCCGATAGTAACCGGGATACTTGTGGCATGTAAACGCAGTACCCCGGTTACTGCAACATAAAGTTGAGTCGCATGCGTCCAAAAGACACTTTCCAGCCTTTCACCACAACAGTAGTCACATAAATAAATTGACCAACATAAATAAAGTGACCAAACGAGTGAAATGACTGTAAAATAAAGAGCTGCGCTAAACCTGCACACGTACAATCTGCACTCGTACGACCTGCACTCGTGTGACGCTGAAAAGCTAAAACATGAACTATCTCCTATACTCTATACGCACAGAACACACTTACCATCATCAGCACCTCTTCTGTCACAGAAATAACACACATAATCCACAGAGTCGTGTCATTTAGTCCAAAAGAAACTGATCGCATCAGCGGCGCAAGGAGCGAGTTGTTTTTTATCGCCGCTAACAGTTTATGCTAATTAGCCAAACGGTTTTTAAGTTTCGTTTCTGTAAAACGTAAACAAATGTGATCAGAGCTGAATTTATCTGATCAAACGGGCTGATGTGTCTATATAGTGTTTATGGTTTATATGTTGTAAAGTTGAGTTTATTTATGCAGAAGATTTTAATGAAGAATCTGCACAGTGGATTGTGGGAGATCTCGTAGCTCCTTAGCTTCTTATGCTAAAGGAGCTCACGGTTTGTATTTTTTCCTGGTTTATGAAATTGATTTAAGTTAATTTTTGCGCCTGCGCATTTGTAAGATTATGTCAAGAAACCGGGATACTCCATTTGATCATGTATATGAGTGTCCCGGTTTCTCAGTGCGCATGTAAACGCAGTAACCCGAATACTGACAGAACCGGGATATGGCTAATAACCGGGTTATTGATGTGCATGTATACGCACTCTGTGACTGACTTTATATTTGACTGTTATTTTGGCAGATATATCAATGTTTTTATGAATATATATCCATTTTATCGGATTAATGTTAATATTTATGCCTAAAATAATATAAGCAAACTGTACAACTCTCACCTACAGTTGGAGAAGCAGTTCTTTAACCCAACTCCCACTGGCACTTTACAGAAAACTGTTTCAAAGTGAATCAAGTGGACAGGTTTTTTATCAAAGTTTTTTCAAGTTTCTAACTGGAGTTACATTCTCTTACTCGTTCAGCGATTTTATTTACCAGCGTCTGCAAATTTACCAAACCAAACGCTAGTGCTGTAGTCAAGACCACACTAATCGAGACCAAGACCAGTCCGAGATCACAGGGTCCTGAGACCAAGACAAGACCAAAACCTCTGAGGGTCGAGACCAAGACAAGACCAAGACTTTTAAAGATCGAGACGGAGACAAGACCGAGGCCTTGGCCCATCGAGACCAAATCGAGACCAGATTTTGGTACATTTATATTAATGTTTTTATGAATCTATCTTCATTTGATCTGGTTAATGTACATTTAGGCTTAAAATAGGCAAAGTAAACTGTGCTGCATTTAAACACTGTGTGCCCCTTTTTGGACCCTCACCCACAGTTTGAGAAACTCTTCTTTAATCCCCCTTCCACAGACGCTTTACAGAAAAAGGCAAAGTTCATAACATTTACAGTTACATTCACTTACTGGTTTTGCAGTGATATTGAGCCTCTGCACATTTACCGGCCGTAAAATACGATCTCACTCGTCAAGTGTCAGACCTCGAGTCCAAGACAAGATCGAGACCAAGCGCCATCGAGGCCGAGACGAGACCGAGTCCAAGCGCCATCGAGGCCGAGACGAGACCGAGTCCAAGCGCCATCGAGGCCGAGACAAGACCGAGTCCAAGCGCCATCGAGGCCGAGACAAGACCGTGGCCAAGACAAGATCGAGACCAAGCGCCATCGAGGCCGAGACAAGACCGAGTCCAAGACAAGATCGAGACCAAGCGCCATCGAGGCCGAGACAAGACCGAGTCCAAGCGCCATCGAGGCCGAGACGAGACCGAGTCCAAGACAAGACCGAGTCCAAGCGCCATCGAGGCCGAGACGAGACCGAGTCCAAGCGCCATCGAGGCCGAGACGAGACCGAGTCCAAGCGCCATCGAGGCCGAGACGAGACCGAGTCCAAGCGCCATCGAGGCCGAGACGAGACCGAGTCCAAGCGCCATCGAGGCCGAGACGAGACCGAGACCGAGTCCAAGCGCCATCGAGGCCGAGACGAGACCGAGTCCAAATGCGGTTGAGTCTGAGATGAGACCAAGACCATAAAAAAGCAGTCTCGAGACCAAGACATGACACTACCAAATGCACATCGTGACAAACTCAGATTTGTGCACTTTTATTAGACAAACTGCTACCGACAGTCGTGGCCATAATGAAATCTGATCACTCTCGTCGACTGTCAGACCTCAAAGGCAAGAAACCAAGACCACAAAAAGCCTGAAGGTCTGTCTCGAGTACTACACTAGTTGACAGTACGATTCTATCCAAATCTGAGCCCACAAGCCCACGCCCACGCTCCCACATGACAATTCTCCATAAATACACAAAAACATGAAACAAAACTGTACCCAGCAGCTTCACAAACCTGATTTAAAGGTTTGATTTGTTGTGCACTGATAAAAAAAACTACGTAAAAAAAAAACTACTATCAACTACTAAACACATGCTCTTCTTTAAAATTTTCTTTAACATTAACTTTTATTTTGTACAATGATAAACGATAAACCTTTGTGCCTTCATTAATGTTAAATTAATTAAAGTATTAGTTTGTACGACCGTAAACGAAAAACAAAAAAATCCTTACATTCTTTCATTCTCATTGTAGTTTATTTCGTACGATCATAAACGATAAACTTTTTCGCCTTTGTTAACATTCTTATTAATTGCTACAACCATAAACAGAAAAAAAAAAAAATAAAATAAAGATAAGAACAAGGAAGAAAGTGATTGTGTTTCTGGTAGAGATTTTGGTTTGTTAAAAAGAGTATAGAGTGTCGTGTTTTGGAAAATACGGAGCTCTGGAGTTGATGGATTGTGCATTGAGGTTTTTTTTTTGTTTTAATTTATGTTTTGTCTGTTATATTTACGGTGAGTGGAGTTGTGAAGGCAAACTTGTTGTTCATGCGTTTGGTACCTTTAGTTTCAGCTCGGACTCTTCCTGTCATGACCCATGTAGTCGTGGTTTATGTTTTGTTTTCGTTTTGCCGCAAATGATCCAATAAAACAAAACAAACAAAAAACCGGAGGGTGACTTTTTGAATTCTCGCTTTTTAGTGTAACTCACGTTTATCCTTTTTCTTCTCCAGTTGGTGGGCGGCCAGTTCGACCTGGAGATGAACTTCATAATCCAGGAGCCGGAGAGCGTGGTGTGCATGGTGGAGCTGCTGGACCAGTGTGAGCCCACGTGCCAGGCCGAGGTCTGGAGCATCTTCACGGCCATCCTCAAGAAGAGCGTCAGGAACCTCCAGGCCTGCACCCAGATGGGCCTCATCCAACTGGTGCTGGACCGAATCGCCACCACAGACAGTATGATCGCAGGTACCACCAACCAGAGCCGTGAAAAGAGTCGAAAAAAAGATACTAATCGATATTTAAAGGTGGATCGTGTAACTTTTCTGGTGGAAGGTCCGTCAAACGCTTTTTTCCGTGGAGATGTTATTGCTTTATCTGGAATGTTCTACTTTAAATTTATTCAATTACAGGTGGTTTTATGGCTCAAAACTGTATTAAACCTTTCTATCTTCATGGAGACCAAACCAGACCAAGTTACAGGTCAGATCTGTGGAGAGGCGACCCCACTCACAGTCAGAATGCATGTTTTTCTAGATAATTTTGAGCTATAAAACCACCTGTAATTGAATAAATGTAAAGTAGAGATGTTTATGGGTGTTGATGGGGAACATATCCACAGAAACAAAAAGGTGACGGACCCTTCACCAGAAAAGTTGCACATTGCACCTTTAAAGGTCTTGAAATCTTGAAATCTTTAAGTCATGTTATAATGTTGTTATCTCTTCAGAAACATCTGGAGTTGTGTTTTGTTTCATTCACACACGTTTGACTTTATTATTAGTCTGTCTACATCTCCAGAGCTCAAAATGTGTGAAGAATCCCTCAGTCGTCCAGGTAGAATCCATGACGAGGAGAAAATTCAGTTTGTCGACTGGACAAAAGTTAGTTTGGCTGAAGACGTTTCGCAGCTCATGCAAGCTGCTTCTTCATCCAGCAGCTTGGATGAGTCGACAAACTGAATTTTCTCCTCGCCAGAGCTCAAAATGTTTAAAAACACAGTTGAATTCAGGGTTCCCACGGTCATGGAAACCCTGGAAAAGTCAAGGAAACTGGAAATGTAATTTTCCAGGCCTGGAAAAGTCATGGAATTTTAGTCTCTCTTTCACACAACTACAGCGTTCTGTTAAGTTCTCATTAAACTATTATGATTATCTCCGAACGTTTGCGCCTTTTGTTTAAAAGTGACGACAATAAATGCATCATCATCAGAGCAAAAGGGAAACATCGGTCACACTTTCGGCGCGTTAGCTCTTAAAACACAATTTATCTCACTTCACACGCAAACACCAAACCGAAGTCTTCCAGAATCTCCACCGGAGTTTTTAGAAAGATTTGTTTTCAGCGGTGAATTCGCTGTTTGCGTGTAAAAGATGGGAAAAAACTAAAGGAAATGTCTCAGTTTTTAAAAAGTACGGGGCCTTAATGTCAGTCTGAACGACACAGATCAGATTTTTTTCAAATGTGACCCAGGCCACTTGGATATGTGCTCCTAAAACTGATACATATCTGATCTTTTGACATGTGACTTCAGTCTGAACTAGGGACGGGCATTCGATGAAATTTTCTTAATCGATCGTCGGAAGAATTAACGATCGATTATCGATTAATCATTAACGTTTTTATATTAAAATGATCATCATTATTATTACTATCTGCACTACTAATCTGCATAAATAAATTCAACTTTACGACATATAAACCGTAACGACTCTAGAGCCACATCAGCCCGTTTGACATTATAATGTGTTTAATTCAGTTTTGTTCAAATCTCACAGAAACAAAACTTAAAACCACATCACTAATTTGCATAAACTAAGTGAAGATAAAACTCCAGCTCTTGTGTCGCTGATGTGGTTCAATTTCTGTCGGATTAAAAGACATGACTCAGGTGAATACAGGTTAGTGTGACCAGATTTGTGTTTGTCAAAACCAGGACAGCGTACGGGGGGAGGGGGGCGGGGCCTCGTCATCCACATTGAGCGACTCTCACCTGGTAAAAACTTTTTTCCCACTGGACACAGAAACATATGTGCTGCTTTATACACTGTGCACATGGACTCACACTTGTCCCGAACGCAACGGAAAGTGTGGAATTTCTTGTACAAATCATCGTTAAATCCACATTTGTGCTTCGGTTCGTTACAGACTGACCCACTGTTTGTGTCTCGCTCCTTCTGATGCAGAGACACATGTACACACCTGTTTGGTCACACTACACACAACAACTTACATTCGGTTTTGTCGATTAAAATTAACGTAATCGATGAAATTCTTAATGATCAATTATCGATTAATCGATTAATCATGCCCATCCCTAGTCTGAACGGTCAGGTCACATTCATCCCACCTACACGTCAGGCTCGGAGTCTCGTCAGTTCGTTGTATTCAGGACAGATTGGAGGAGTCTTATCGGAACTGGACGGTTTTTTAAATGATTTCCAAAGTAACGTCCGAGCGCGGCAACAGTCGGTCCTGACTCCAATGGCAATGAAAAATAAAGAGCCTGCGAGACAAATACAAGGATTATAAAAACTCAAACAAATGAAGCGGCCGTGGACGTGTAACCTGAACATTTTACCAAGAACTCGACCAGATTTTGGGAGACAAGCCCAACGTTTAGGCGTCTTCCGTAAACACTGAGCATGTTGGACTCTTTTGGGGCGTTTAAAGTTCACACTGGAGATCACGTACAAGTCGCGTTTAATTGGAAACGAGAACGACCTCGCAAAAAAATCTGAATTGAGCATTAAGCCCTGCAGTCTGAACGCAGCCTACAAACAAAACACCATCTCGTCTCCTCTTCTCTTCTTAGTGCTAATTTTCTTTCCCATTATCTAAGCGCATTTTGCTAGTGTAGAGTACAATAAATCGCCAATTAATTTGCTGTGAGCCTCAGTCTGTTTGTCTGTGTGCAAATGAGACGGAAATGTCCCGCAGTGTTTCGATGAACTTTGCAAAACTGATCAGAACGAGCCGGCGGCGGAGTGCGGTCAGCGGAGCAGACGATATACCCACAGGTTTTACGGCGCTTCTGTTTGCGCGGAATAATTACGCGTTACATAATTATAGTTTAAAATGGGACATTGTGTTAAATCAGCTTGCAAACTCAAACACACACGTCTGAGTAACCCTTTAGTATTAGTCTGTTCCAACTTGTGATGATGTTAACAGCTCCTTTTACCGTTCGTTCAGTAGAGATCGGCAGTTCCAAATGATTCTAGTGAAGGTGTATGGAGTTTAAAAACGCAGTGGAGCGCTTCCTGTATTACCGCATGACATCATAAAGTGGTGAACGTGCCCTGAGGGTGAAGAAGAAGAAGAAGAGAGTTAAAAATATGGTGCTATTATGTCAGTGCTGCCAATAGAAGTTAATTACGACTAAACATTTATTAAAGAGGAACTATGAGCTTTCTACCGTCAAAAAAAAAACAGGTCTGAAGAGATTTTAGAGTCATCCATGCATGTTTGAGTCATTTAGTGATCTCTCCCGCCCTATGCAAACCCTGTGCCATGCTCCACCTACAAATCTACACTCTTCCCGCTGATGTTATAATGTTGTTACGTCATCGAAAACAGACCTGGAGTTGTGTTTTGTTTCACACATGTTTGAGTCATCATTTATTATTTACGGAAGCCGAGAGGGGACACAACTAGGGATGGGCATTCGATGAAATTTTCTTAATCGATCATCGGAAGAATTAACGATCGATTATCGATTAATCATTAACGTTTTTATATTAAAATGATCATCATTATTATTACTATCTGCACTACTAATCTGCATAAATAAATTCAACTTTACGACATATAAACCGTAACGACTCTAGAGCCACATCAGCCCGTTTGACATTATAATGTGTTTAATTCAGTTTTGTTCAAATCTCACAGAAACAAAACTTAAAACCACATCACTAATTTGCATAAACTCAGCGAAGATAAAAACTCCAGCTCTTGTGTCGCTGATGTGGTTCAACTTCTGTCGGATTAAAAGACATGACTCAGGTGAATACAGGTTAGTGTGACCAGATTTGTGTTTGTCAAAACCAGGACAGCGTACGGGGGGAGGGGGCGGGGCCTCGTCATCCACATTGAGCGACTCTCACCTGGTAAAACTTTTTCCCACTGGACACAGAAACATATGTGCTGCTTTATACACTGTGCACATGGACTCACACTTGTCCCGAACGCAACGGAAAGTGTGGAATTTCTTGTACAAAGTCATCGTTAAATCCACATTTGTGCTTTGGTTCGTTACAGACTGACCCACTGTTTGTGTCTCGCTCCTTCTGATGCAGAGACACATGTACACACCTGTTTGGTCACGATACACACAACAACCTGCATTCGGTTTGTCGATTAAAATTAACGTAATCGATGAAATTCTTAATGATCAATTATCGATTAATCGATTAATCATGCCCATCCCTAGTCACAACAAACGCAAACGCCGCAACAAATACAAATGCGACAACACAATAAAAGGCCACAACAAACCCAAAAAAGCCACAACGGAAATGACTGCGGGACTCTATTTTAATGCAAATGCCGCAACACATTAAAAAGCCACAACACATTAAAAAGCCGCAACACATCCAAAAGCCACAACAGAAGTGACCGCGGGACTCTATTTTCCGACGGACCGATCAAGCGGCAAGTGAAGAAGAAGAACTACAACGTGAAACGAATAATGATAAAACAATAAATTTTTTACTTACGTTTCCAACTTCTCCGTTCCTTTACTTTTCACGTTGTAGTTTTTCTTCTTCACTTGCCACTTGATCGGGAAAATAGAGTCCCGTGGTCACTTCCGTTGTGGCTTTTTGATGTGTTGTGGCTTTTTAATGTGTTGCGGCGTTTGCATTAAAATAGAGTCCTGGGGTCATTTCCGTTGTGACTTTTTTTGGTGTGTTGTGGCTTTTTGTTGTGTTGTCGCATTTGTATTTGTTGCGGCCTTTGCGTTTGTTGTGACCCCTCTAGGCTTCCGTAATTGTCATTGTGCTGAAAGGTCCACAAAGGATAAACATTCTTCCATGAATAATTTATCCACAACTATCAAGGCAAGAAAGACGAAAGCTTAAAGGAGAACAACGATGAGTGAACTACTGAACAAAACTAACATTATGGTCCTAGAGATGTCCCACATATAAAGTGCACACTAGAGCCCCGCACTACTGTGGCGCGGGACCCGACGCAAAACAGCGCGGCGTTTGAAAGCTCATTGAGGGTGCGGGCGGGACTCCACAAGGCGGGAGAGGGCGGGTGGGATGATAAACTACAGTCCTGCAAACTAAATATGAGTGTAAAGTAAAATATACAAATGATTAATGTACCGTATTTTCCGGGCTATTAGACGCGCTCTTAAGTCTCCAACACCATCAAAAAGCACGACTTCAGTAAACTACAAAGCCGCAAACACACACGGAGCAGACAGCGACCGCACGGCGAAACACACCCACAGACACACTCATCACTCCACGTCGACGAGGAACGGAACGGAGGAACGAACCGAAAAAGCGAGCGCAACGTGTCGCTTCTAGACACGACTGAACAACTGAGTCACTGCGAACACGCCGACAATCCAGCGTGTCCCAGACAGCACCTCCCTACACGCCACAACTGAACAAAGCCCAGAGTCACCGTGAACGAACAAACAAACAAAACCACTCACCCATCACACTGTTGTGTTTCCTTTAAAGTCCCACGCGGTTTATTTGTGAAAAAGTTCGAAAATAGACCATTTAATGACTTGAACGCCTAATAGTGCGGAAAATACGGTATGCCTATCATGCATCATTTCTGCTGGATATTTTATTTGGTATTAATAAAAACATTTTAAGCAGCCTAATTTTGCATATGTGGTCTAATCTCGCACACATTTTAGACCAGGGGCCGTGTGTCGATTGGTACTGGGCTGCGAAAGTGTGAACCTTCCGTCTCATACGCTGCACGGACTCTCTGACTGTCCCCCCTCCCCTACATTTCCACAGATATTTTGCCACAGAAAACCATTAACCAGAAGTTCCTCAAACCTACAGCGGGGCACTTCTGGCTGTTGTGTAAAAGGTCTATTACCACATGACATCACAAGGTGAAAGAGTGTTTTCAGTTTGAGAGAAGAACTCGGCCTAAGCATGCAGGGTTTGTGTGTTAAACATGTATGAATGAAACAAAACACAACTCCAGGTCTGTTTGTGACGAGGAAACGACATTAAAACGTGAAATACAAATTGTGTGTCTTATTGTCTCGTTTGTTTACGGTTTCAGATTTGTTGGTGGACATGTTGGGCGTCCTGGCGAGCTACAGCATCACCGTGAAGGAGTTAAAGCTGTTCTTCAGCAAGTTGCAAGGAGAACAGGGCCAGTGGGTGAGTCCGGTTTAACATTCGTCTGTCCGTTCGGTCCGGGGCCGCCGTGAGAAATGTGCTGGCAACACTTAAATTGCTGCTGCTGCTGCTGCTGTCGCTGTCCCCATAGGCTAATGTCCTTGTCCCATTGTCAAGATGAATCATTACTCAGCACGGGGCCGCAGATATAAAAGCTACAGTGTGTTTGTAACGGAGAGACGGTGTCGTGTTGGGACGTGCTCTGTAATTTCACACGGAACATTATAATTTTAAGGAGAACCTTTCACGTAATCATAATATTTGACATGGTTTTACGGCAATCTGCTCATACTTTGCAGCTGATGTCGACAACTTTCTCGGGGGGAGAAAGTTGTCGACATCAGTTTTCTGTTTGTGTCACCGTGGTAACTGTGCAACATTCCATCCTTGACATTAGGGTGCAGCATTCGCCCCAATGTCAGAAATTCAACTTGTACCCACTTTTAAAACGTGACAATACCAATTAAAAGAAAATCTGTGGAAAATTTGCTCAGTTGAATAAAATCTACTGGGTCCATCAAGACTCTTAAATTCATTTGTGATCCATATTGCTCTGGTAGAAAAATCTGTTTTTCTCAAATAACTTTAAAAATAATGCATTTAGAGACATGGTGGCGCATCTATTGGTACCAGTTTTATATCTCTGTCTTCATACCTTTCTACAATATGTCAATTTTATATGACAGTTAATTATCCAGTATCCACGAAGGCCAAAGATGAAGTGAGAGACATAAAGTTTGTTCTTTATGCAGTGATCATAAACATATCAGATTAAACAATACGATATATCGATATTTCAATATTTTTGCACACCCCTTTTTCTTACTGATGCTTTGATAAGTAGGTTACAGTGAACACATCTGATAATGGACATAATATAATAATACCTGTATTAAAGATTTTACTTTTCATACTTCCAAATCTTTGAGTTTTAAATTTGTTCATTTCAACTTACATAATGTGTTGTAGGCCAAACATTTGTTGCAATTCAGGACATATTTCTTATTCAAAGTTCTTGAAGTAACAAAGAAATTACGCTTTTGCCATATCTTAGAAACTAATGATGATAGAGACATAAAACTGGTACCAAATGATCCATATTTATATTCAACTTCCATTGACACTATTGGGCTAAAATAATTATTTTTGATGTTATTAAAGAAAAAGATTTTTCAGGTCATAGTTAAGGCTTCTGCACTAAAATTTAGAGGCTTGATGAACCAGTAGACAGCAAAAGAATTTCATAAAATTTCTCATGGAATTTTACTTTGGCAAGTGTAAAAATTGATACTAGGTACAGATTGATTTTCAAAGATTTTTCAAAAAGTTTGGTAAATGGTAAAATCTCTCCTAGACATCCATGTAGAACACCTCCAGCATGATGTCGCTGCAAAGTATCAATGACAGATTTTCTAAAATGTGCTTACAAATGTCTTGGTAGAAATTTGACATAAAGTATGTTTTGAAAATAGGTTTTATTTATCACTAGTGTAACAGAAGGTGTAACAATGTCTAAATCTCAATACGATATTTTCACGAGCTGCAGCTCACAGTACGATATTTACTGGAATATTTGTGGAGGTTTACAACATTGTGTATATGATACTTTTTCATTTAAAAGCTTTGAAAAAGCTTTTGTACTGTTATAATATGAACAATTAAGATGTGAAAGTGTTTAATAACAGTTTCTTCACGTCACCATCTTGGTCTATGTAGTTCTGTCAGTTTTTTAGTTGTTGTTGCACATAAACAGTTTAATTCGATATATTGTGATTACGTGAGACTTTTGATAAAATAATATCATGATATTTTGGTTATTGTTACATCCACAGGATACACGTGCCTTTTCAATGTCTAATTTTTCATGTTTTGTGTTTTGTTGTTTCAGCCTCGTCACGCGGTGAAGCTCCTGTCGGTGCTCAAGTACATGGCTCACAGAAACGGTCCAGACTCATTCTTCAGTTTCCCAGGAAAAAACGCTGCTGTGAGTTGAAGACAAGTTTTAAAAAATATTTCAAATATTATATGGTTGGATTTCCAAACATGGAGCCTGGCTCCAGATTCTCTGCTGTAACCGTTGCAACGGGAGCTTCATTTGAGTGGAGATGAACGTTGTGGAGACGTCACACTCGCTTAGTCCACTTTTTTATACTCTCTATGGAGACCACTGGAAATACAAGATGCCACTGTGGGTTGTTGTGTCCTTAGGCAAGACACTTGACCCACACTGCCTAGTATGAATGTGATGTGTGTGTGTGTGTGTGTGTGTGTGTGTGTGTGTGTGTGTGTGTGTGTGTGTGTGTGTGTGTGTGTGTGTGTGTGTGTGTGTGTGTGTGTGTGGAGTGTGTGTGTCTGTGGTGGCGGCACCAATTAGCCTGATTCATCAGCTGGTTTCACTTCGTGGAAACCGTGTGACCTCGCAGCATTAGGATTCGTTCGCTCGACTGTAGTCAGGTACTTTTTAAAATAACTAATCGCTGCTGTTGCTCGTGACGTATGTAATGCGCCGCTGACAGGGACTAACTGGTATATTAAGCTTTTCCCAAATCCTGTAGGAAGAAGGACAATAACGTCTTTCCCCTTGATAAAATTCATCAAACATTCTCTTTGTTCCGGCTTTAAATCCTCGATCTCAGGAATCGTTGCCAACACAGAATGTCTGTCTCTTCTCTGATTGGCTGGTGCCTGAACTCACACTTCCAGGGTTTTTGCGAACCGTCTAGTGCATTCTGACACCTGACCGCTGGAGTCGCTAAAGAGAAATTAAACTGAGCGGAGGCAGTAGGTGGTGCCAGTCTGGCTAGGGGCCAATGGCACAGATTGGCAACCTTGCCCAGGGCAGCTGTGGCAGTAATAGAAACTCCCCATCACGAGTTGGAGTGGATGAGTAATGCAGCAGAGATCTTTGCTCAATGTTTAAAGTAAGCACAGATTGGGCAACTATAAACAAATAACCAGAGTCGGATCCCAGACAGTCGATTCTGTGTCATGGTGCAATATCCAAATGACAGAAAGAGGGCGGGACTAAACGTTTAAACTAAATGCTACATGCTCCTAATTAGGGCTGAACGATTTTAAGAAAAAATTTAATTGCGATTTTTCTGGCAGATATTGCGATTTCAATTTCATCCACGATATATTTATTTATTTTTATTTTTTTCAAATCAAGTTTCAGTGCACATGGACATTTGCAAACATCACAGAAACTTACATCACACCAGAGTCCAGCACTGAGTCATGTACCTGCCAGGACTAAACCAGGACTGAACCAGGACTAAACCAGGACTGAACCAGGACTGAACCAGGACTGAACCAGGACTGACCAGGACTAAACCAGGACTGAACCAGGACTGAACCAGGACTAAACCAGGACTAAACCAGGACTGAACCAGGACTGAACCAGGACTGAACCAGGACTGAACCAGGACTGAACCAGGACTGAACCAGGACTGAACCAGGACTAAACCAGAGGACTGAACCAGGACTGAACCAGGACTGAACCAGGACTGAACCAGGACTGAAACCAGGACTGAACCAGGACTGAACCAGGACTGAACCAGGACTGAAACCAGGACTAAACCAGGACTAAACCAGGACTGAACCAGGACTGAACCAGGACTAAACCAGGACTGAACCAGGACTGAACCAGGACTGAACCAGGACTAAACCAGGACTGAACCAGGACTAAACCAGGACTGAACCAGGACTAAACCAGGACTAAACCAGGACTAAACCAGGACTGAACCAGGACTGAACCAGGACTGAACCAGGACTAAACCAGGACTGAACCAGGACTGAACCAGGACTGAACCAGGACTGAACCAGGACTGAACCAGGACTGAACCAGGACTAAACCAGGACTAAACCAGGACTAAACCAGGTCTTTGATTAAATCATTAACGTTTTTATATTAAAATGATCTTTATTCTAAATTCTAAAATCATGTTGTCTGAGATCGCAATTTTCGGTCCAAAACTATTCAAAACATTCAGGCCTTTTTAAATAATGTTCTATAAATATAAGAGTTTTATTGTAGAAACTGTTAATTAAAATATTACATACCAGCCACCACATTTGAGTCATTTCATCTTTTTTTTAATCCAAAGCCTTGACTTGGAACACGCTGTGCTTTCTGCCTTTTGTGAATGTGGTTTTGAGTCTAATCACTTCTATATTTAACTTGTATCTTCTGTTTTTTTAGGCTATAGCTCTGCCTCCCATCGCAAAGTGGCCGTATCAGAATGGTTTTACATTCCACACCTGGCTCCGCATGGATCCCCTCAACAACATTAACGTGGACAAAGATAAGCCTTATCTGTACTGGTATGTGCCTTATTGTGTTTTTTATCTGCGTCTTTTTAATGCAAAACAGTGCGTGTGTGTGTGTAAAAGTGTATTGTGGTGCAGTGTAGTATCTCTGTATTTATTTAAAGGTCTTAACTTACACAAAACTGACTCTTGTGAGCTTTAAGTCACGTTATCTTGTCGTTTCCTCCTCAAAAACAGACCTGCAGTTGTGTTTTGTTTGAGTAATCCCGCGTTATTAGTCTGGCTACATCTCCAGAGCTCAGAATGTTCTGTTCCACATTGTGATGTAATTTAACAAAAGCTCAAAATTAGGTGAATCTATATTTAACAAAAGAGTCAGGCCCAACTGGGATAATTTAATCAAAACCGAACAGAACAAAACTAACGCACCAGACAAAAGATCAAGGATGTTTAAATACTGAAAGATGAACTAAAATGGAACACAAGAGGGAGGAAATTAAACTAAAGGATAAACTAAAACTAGTCACTTTGTCAAATTAACAATAAGGCAAGTGATTATAACTATACAGAAAATAACAGTGGTAATAAAGTAACTTGGAGCAAACTAGACAAAGTTTTTTTTTGGTCTATAAGTCGAGAGTTGCACCTGTCAAAAAATGTGTAATGAATAAGAAAAAACGTATATAAGTTGCATTTTTTGTTGGAAATTTATTTGATAAAATCAGAGACCAGGAACTGACTTTTCCTTTTGAAACTGAAGTTGTAGTAAAAACAATAGAAGAGAGAACAACAGACTGTTAACGTCACATATGAACAGTTCTTCAGATAAACTATAACATAAACAACAGAACAAGTTTAACAAACTCTCCATCTCACTCCAAATCACTAAATCCATTCAATTCTTCATCCTCGGTGTCACTTCTGAGGTAAACAGAGCGTCACTTCCTCTTCTGTGTCGCTGTCGTCAGACTCAGCATCAGTTCCAGTTAGAATTATTCGGGTCTTTCTGAATCCCGACAGGATGGTTTCGGTGTCACTGAAGTTCAGACTTTGTCCATCCATCCAGTGACTTCAGGAAAGTTTCATGGTTCATCCTCCTGGTGTCACAAGTTTCTCTCTCACTCCAAACTTTCTTTCTGCTGCTCGATTACTGTTTTCAGCTGAATATTTCACGACTTGCAGTTTGTAATCTGCAAAGTCTGATTTGGTTTTGGGGGCATTTGTGTTCAGTCTTCTCAGTCGTCTTTATAAGTTTGTTTAAAGCAGGCATGTCCAAAGTATGACCTGTGGGCCAAATGCGGCCCTCAGACAAATTTTTCTTGGCCCTCAGGCTTCCAGGTGAATTGGCTCAAATGACCTTGCATCAATTAAAATTTTACTTTTTACTGCAAGTTTTTTGAAACTCTACCTTGATAAAGATCATATTTAATATTTAGTGTTTGGTTTTAAGGATCTTAGAATGACCTTTTATTCTTGCTAACATGTTAAACATGCACATATTTTAATTATTCACTGTATTCAGCATCAGTCTACGGCCCTCGATCGTCCCTCTGCTTTGTCTGCGTTTAGATCTGTGGCCCTTGATGGAAAAAGTTTGGACGCCCCTGGTTTAAATGTTAAATTGTTCAGTGGTGCAGAAGTAACGGTGCGATCGACTGACATGATACAGACAGAACAGAGGCTCTTTCTGCAGGAGACATGCGCAGTAGAGCCAAGTGACAGTGGTACAGGAGGAACAGATACTCACACACAAAACTAGAGCGCCCCCTTGAGGCCGAAAATGTTAATACATAAGTCACACCTGAGTATAAGTCACAGGAAACACTGTTACGAACTGGCTCAGGGCTTCAACAAGAGGGAGTCCACACATGTTTTAAAAAATTGTACAAAAATAGATATTTATTTAAAAAAAAGCTCATTAGGTTGGGCCTCCCACTCTGGAATCTCGTAACAATCACTCAAACCATGAAAAAAAGTGACTTATAGTTCGAAAAATACAGTAAAGAATTCAGACATCAGCTCCTTTTTAGCTTTTGTTGAGTCGAGATTGGCAATTCAAGAGCTGAAATTATCCAAATGATTCTAGTGAAGGTGTTTTAAGTTTGGACGTAGACAAACTTTACTGATCCACAAGGGAAATTATTTGTCATTTATAATAATAAGAGTTTCTGATATTACCAGGTGACATCAGTGTTTTCAGTTTGAGAGAAGAACTCAGCGTACATCTGCTTCGTTTGTGCGTTAAACGTGTGAATGAAACGAAACAAAACACAACTCCGGGTCTGTTTGTGACGAGGAAACATTGGAACATAGATCAGGAAAATAGTGTAACATGATTTAAAGTCATAACTCAAGTTCTGTCAAAATTCTAATTCCTCCAACTGTCGCTCGTGTTGGGCGATCGGCGGCTCTTCCTCCGAGCTGCTGGAGAGTCTCTAATGAAGCTCTCCAGTTCTTTTTAAACGGCTTAATTTAGCAAATGACATGCAAAGTCCCATCTCTCTTGGACGCACAGATTATGGAAGAAGACGTCCGAAACACTACGGAGAGCGGCTCTATTTAAATCGTGTTTGGTTTTATATTTAAAGGCGACTCATTCAGTCTGTGTTCAGTCCTGTGTTACGCAAAACTGACCCATGTGAGCTTTAAAACGTGTTATAATGTTGTTTTAAGTTGTGTTTCGTATCGTTCACGCACGTCTGAGCGCATCTCCACCGTCTCAAACTGCTCTGTTCCAACTTGTGATGTCACGAAGTGGTAGTTTTCAAGTTAACAGCTGCCCAGACTGTTGCAGTGACGAGTAAAGCAGTTCATTTGAGGTTAAAAATAGCTGTTAAAAAGTGTAAAACTACCACTAAATGACATCACAAGTTGAAACTGAGCCTTGACTGATATATTATATGATAGACTTACTGTTAAGACTGTGCAAAGTGGCAAAAAACAAAATCACCGGTTTTCACATTTACGGATAATTTTCTACTGTTTTATTTTATTTTTTTTATCATTAATTTTTCATTAAGAATATTACAACATATACATTCCATTGTACATATCATGTGTTTTTTTATTTCCCCCCTCCTCCCTTCCCTCCCTCCTCCTCCTCTCCCCCTCTCTCTCCTCCCTCCTCCCTCCCCTCCCCTCCTCTCCTCCCTCCTCCCTCCTCCCCCTCCCCCTCTTCCCTGCCCTCCTCCTCCCTCCTCTTCCTCTCTTCCCTCCCTCCCTCCTCTCCTCCTTCCCTCCTCCCTCCTCTCCTCTCTTCTCCCTCCCTCTCCTCCTCCCTCCCTCCTCTCTTTCCCTCCCTCCCTCTCCCCTCTCTTCCCTCCCCCTCTCCTCCTCCCTCCTCCTCCCTCTCCTCTCCTCCCTCCCTCCCTCTCTCTCTCCTCCCCCTCTCTTCTTCCTCTCTCCTCTCCCCTCCCCTCCTCTCTTCCCTCCCTCCTCTCTTCCCTCCCTCCTCCTCTCCTCCCTCCTCCTCTCTTCCTCCTCCCCTTCCCTCCCCTCCTCTCTTCCCTCCCCCCTCTTTCCTCCTCCCTCCTCCCTCCTCCCTCCTCTCTTCCCTCCCCTCCTCCTCCTCTCCCTCCCTCTCCTCCCTCCTCCCTCCTCTCCTCCTCCCTCTCCTCCCTCCTCTCTTCCCTCCCCTCCTCTCCCTCCCTCCCCCCCTCCCCTCCTCCCCTTCTCCTCCCTCCCCTCCCTCCTCCTTCCCTCCTCCTCCTCTCTTCCCTCCCTCTCTCTCTCCCTCCCTCCTCCCCTCCCTCCTCCCTCCTCTCCTTCCTCCCTCCTCTCTCTCCTCCCCTCCTCTCCTCCCTCCCCTCCTCTCTTCCCTCTCTTCCTCCTCTCTCTTCCTCCCTCTTCTCCTCCCTCCTCCTCCTCCCTCCCTCCTCTCCTCCTCCTCCCTCCCCTCCTCCCTCCTCCTCTCTCCTCCCTCCCTCTCTCCTCCCTCCCTCTCCCTCCTCTCTCCTCCTCCCTCCTCCCTCTCCTCCCCTCCTCCCCCTCCCCTCCCTCCCTCCCTCCCTCCCCTCCCCCTCCTCCCTCCTTCTCCCTCCCTCCTCCCTCCTCCTCCTCCCCTCCTCTCCTCTCTCCCTCCTCTCTTCCCTCCCCTCCTTCCTCTCCTCCTCCCTCCTCTCTTCTCTCCTCCTCTCTTCTCCTCCCCCCTCTCTCTTCCTCCTCTCTTCCCTCCCCTCCTCTCCTCCCCTCCTCTCTTCCTTCCTCCCTCTCCTCTCCTCCCCTCCTCTCCCCTCCTCTCTTCCCCTCCTCCTCCTCCCTCTCTCCTCCCTCCCCTCCTCTCTTCTCCCTCCCTCCTCCCTCCCTCCCTCCTCTCTCCCTCCCTCCTCTCCTCCTCCCTCCCTCCTCTCTCCTCCCTTCCCTCCCCTCCCTCCCTCCCTCTCTCTCCTCCTCCCTCCCTCCTCCCTCCCTCCTCTCTTCCCTCCCCTCCTCTCTTCCTCCTCTCTTCCCTCTCCCTCCTCTCTCACCTCCTCTCTTCCCTCCCCTCCTCCCTCGCTCTCCTCCCTCCCTCCTCCTCTCTTCCTCCCTCCCTCTCCCTTCCTCTCTTCCCTCCCTCCCTCCTCCCTCCCTCCCCTCCTCTCCTCCTCCCTCCCTCCTCTGTTCTTCCCTCCTCTCCCCTCTCTTCCCTCCCCTCTCTCTTCCTTCCTCTCTCTCCCCTCCCTCCCTCCTCTCCTCTCTCCCTCCCTCCCTCCTCTCCTCTCTTTCCCTCCCCTCCTCTCTCCCTCCCTCCTCCCTCCTCCTCTCCTTCCTCTCTTCCCTCCCTCTCTCTTCCCTTCCCTCCTCTCCCTCCCTCCCCTCCCTCCCTCCCCTCCTCCCTCCTCCCCTCCTCTCCTCTCTTCCCTCCTCCTCTCTTCCCTCCCTCCCTCCTCTCTCCCTTCCTCCTCTCCTCCCTCTCCTCCTCCTCCTCCTCTCCTCCTCTCCCTCCTCCTCTCCTTCCCTCCCCTCCTCTCCTCCTCCTCCTCCCTCCCTCCCTCCTCTCTTCCTCCCCTCCTCTCTCCTCCCCTCCTCTCCTCCCTCCCTCCTACCTCCTCCCTCACCTCCTCTCTCCCTTCCCT